GTGCAACATCAAAGAAGCATGAGTGTATAAGTACTCACTTAAAGTCGAACCCAATAAATTTGCATGACAAACAAGAGGACTAAACCCTCCATCTTATTATTCCATTCAAGAAGTTTCAAAATCAGAAGAAAAAAAATTGCAGAACAAGCAGAGTGCACTATGACACACGGAATAGCAAATATTTACGTCAAATTATTCAGAGTTTGCTCTTTGATAAAAATCACTTGATTTCATGGCAAAATGATTGTTAAAAATAACAAAATGCAGTTTAAAGATTACAAAAGTTCTATTTTTGAGATTGTCGGGCATTCTAAGCCAGTCATATGTAATTCGATACCTTTACATTATGAATAGGCTATTTTAAGATAGAATTCCTTTAAAATATTATGAAATATTAAGTATTACATATTTTTGAATAATTTGAGTATATGTCAAAAAATGTAATACTTTATAGTATTTTTAACGAAAAATTGTATAAAATAGCTTATTCTAACTGTAAAACCTGTTAAATTAGGGAAAAATTAAGCAGTGTGAAATTTATCGAGAATTTTCGTAAGTCGTAAAATTGGGTCGTAAATGATATACTTTTTGCAACTAAAAGCACAGCTAGTTGAAAATAATTAAGTTAATATAATTGAAAACTAATAAAGAACAAAAATTTATTCTCCTTCCCAATTCACTCGGATATATCCGCAAAATGTTGGTAAATAGCTATTTTATGAGGATATAACCATGAGAAAGGAGAAAAAAAATTTTCTTTTCTTTGATAATTAGGTTTTAGACTAACTATTTAAGGAATAATTTTTTTTACCAAACAAATATTCTACTAATTAGTGTTATTTTTCCTTCTTTTACCTATTTTCCATTAGATCTTTTTATGTGGACTTTTCTTGTATTCTATATATTATGTATTATAAATTTACAAGTTATTAACTCAGTGTAATTTCATATAAATTTATTACACTCTTTCTAAGTACATTGAAAGAAAAGTATGTTCAAAATTACACGAATATGGAAAATTTTACTATGTCTCCGGCTGTACCGAAACATAAAAAAGCTCAGTAAATTTTACCGAAGTCCTTTGGTAATGATTTTTTTAAAATTAACTATAAAATATGGTTTCATAATATGTGATAAAATTTGGTAAATTCGGTGATTTTATCATGATTCCTTAGAGCATGACATAAAAATCATTCATTCGGTTAGAGTTATTTTTCCGTTTTGTATTTTTTGTTAAATGTGTGGTAATAAGAACTACAAAAAAATTACCGAATGAATGGGTTAAATACCGTATATTTAGGTTTTTATTCCCAGAAGTGTGGGTTCTTTGCCAGAAATGTCATTACCATAAAGCATGGGTCGCCAAACTTTTTTGATCATCGACCTCTATATAATTTTTCGAAATCTCCATCGACCCCCATAAAAGTAATTATCTGTTAATTAAGATAAAACTCTATTAGATACTGTGTTTGTACATTTATTTTATGATTTAAACATTTATTAAAGTAATAGTACATTGTGTAACAATAGTTTTATGAAAAATATATTAATGTTGAAATTTAAATACCTTAATATTTATTAAATAATAAGTAATTATAAATAAGTAGAAATAATAAGTAAAGTAACTACAGATTTATTGCTTCTTAACCAATGAGATGAGTGTGCCTGGTGTTTTTTTGCAAGGTTCGCTATATTGGGTTCAAAATTGGTCAATTTTAATTTTAAATCCCCTCGTAACTCCACATTTAATTTATTTCTGTACTTAGTTAAGATTGAATTTACGTGACTGAAACCGGCTTCAACCATATAGGAACTTGGAAAAGCTAGCATAAAAAGGCTGAGCTATTTCATAAAGTTCTACATATTTTTGCATTATATTTATATTTGTTCAAAATTTACTTATTGTTAAATTTTTAAAAAGCGTCTTTGCTTCAAGATCCGATAATAATTCAGCAAACTCATCTTGCAGGTTGATGTCCACGTTTTTGATGATGCGTTTATTAATTTATGTTCTATAAAGAAACTGATATTAATTCAAATATAAAAAATATTCACAAATTTTACATACTCAATTAGATATGTGTGATTTTCGTATTAAGAACTGTTTTTTCTTTGACCCCCAATCGACCCTTCCGATTCAGATCGACCCCCATTCGACCCCCTGGCTCAGATCGACTCCCACTTTTGTTAAATAGACCCCTGGGGGTCTATATAGACCACTTTGGCGACCTCTGCCATAAAGTAATGTAATTTTCACAAAATAAATTATCCGTACTCTTTTTACTTAATCCTACTGGGTAATGACTCTATTAAAACCGCTCTTATGTGCTTTTATGCCGCTTTAATACATAGTATTAATGTGAAACAATCATAGTTATTGAAATCTAGTATGAATCATAATATGAAATCCGCGATCTGAGTTTGTTTGCCACATAAACAACCCATCAGTTACAAATCCCTGATGAAGCATTCACGTCCCTGATTTGCATTTAATGAAGTGTTGTAAATTATCACTGATTGTTACGTAAAAACGGATTATAACATGGAAATAGGCTTATTCTGATATATTTCGCCAATTATATTCTACTATTTTGCAACCACAAATTGAACCTAATATAGAAATAAATATAAAAAAATATCTTCCTCATCTGCTTTCTTACGCATATAAAAATCACAACAATGAAACTAGCTCCATTCATTTGCAGGGGAAATTGTTTGTAATTGATTTTTGTAAAATTTCTACTAATTTATTTATCGCGATAAGCTTTAGTTCGATTATTAGGTTAGTTTCAATGTTTATTTTTCTTGTATTTTGAGTTCTTGGAATGAGATTTCTCTGTGCACAAAATTATAATTTTCCTACGATTTGTTTTTTATTCTATCGAAAAACTTGAAAATATTGTGATATAGGTTATCTTACTTTAAAACTAAATTGAAATTTCACCCAAGTGTGACACATTAATATTTTCAAACATTGAAATACGATGGCTGTAAAAAAAAAATCGTAATTTCTCTGATATCCAGCCACGTACTCAGTTTTGCGAAAACTGAATGAGTAAAGCAAAATAAAATCAACCTTGACAGAAAATAACTGAAAAATGTATTATTACATCAATAAAATTGTGCTATCTGAATGTCCTTTAAACATTCTTTTTTCTCGAAATTTCCAAAATTTCATTTTTTTTCATCTAATAGTTTTTAAGGCATAGCAATGAGAAGCAGTGTTGATTTCACCAATAACATATTTTTAATATAGATTGCTTGTATAAATCTAACGATAAACATGTTTGAAACTTTCGATAAATCCCTTGTCATTGCAAACTAGCAGGAAAATATAATATTTATCTATTCCCATCAGAAAGAGATGAACCCCATACAGAAAAAGATTAATATTTATCTATTCCTATCCCGTAACAGCTGACTCAAATGAGTTTTTGTGTGTTACATTTATTTATTTATTTTTTTGGTGAAACGAAACAAAGAAATTACAAAAAGAATGAAAGAAAAAAATAAGCAATTAAAGAAAGTAACAGACTCTATTTGTAAGAACAGCAAATAAATGCATTTCTTTTTTCAAACTATTACGACAACAATTATACATGCAAGAGCAAAATTGCGTAAATAACATTGTGCTGTGGATTCTGACCTTGCTTATGCATACTAAAAGTAACCAGTAAATTTCAGTACAGGTTACAATTTCAAACAAATATCCATAATAACCCATTTTAATTTGGTTTTATGGCTTAAGTAAGACAGAGTCTATAAAATAAAACAATGAGTATTTATTGACGTCTACAATACTGAGGCCTTGAAGAACAATGTGTAAAAATATAACAATTACCGGTATTGGTTTACGAAACGTATTTGTCCAGAACATAAATTTCTTAAAGAGGCTCTCCCGTTAAATTAAGTTTACAATTATGACGTCCATTTATTTCCCTATCCAAATTTTCGAGACCAGACCAGACTCTGTATGTATTAGTCCAGGTTGATCATTCTAATTCAAACGCTGACTTTCTATTATTCTCCCGTTACTTCAGCAGCTAGAATTTACTGGATGCTAATAACAGGAACCTGCCACAAAAAATAAAAATTTAAAAAAAATTAAAATAAAGAAATTTCGAAAAATTAAAGAAGAGAACTCTCGATGAGATGAGAGCCCTTGACTAAATAACCGGCAAAAGGCCTCTGGTGAGATTAAATAACTCTTCCACAGTCCCAGATAGGAGATTAGAGAGAGCAAGAGCCATCAGTCAACAAATGACAGCACTCATTCGGTACTCGAACCCACTATCAAAACTCATTTTACACGAAAAACAACCAAACAATAAAAAAAATTTGTTAGCATAAAACCAATATTGCTAATAGGAAACTATTCACAGCTCTAGCTAAATAGAGGGTTAGACTCATGTTGCAGTTGGAAAAAGATGGAAATTTCTTATGGTTTATCGCTTCTTGAAATGGGGAGATGTTGCTTAACTTTCCGAAAGTTAGACAACATCACCGAAAATGAGCTTTTCTTGATAACTGCCTTTTTAGCTGGAGTAAAAATTACTCAACATATGTGACATACATGAAAGATTTTTCTTTTTAGCTCAAAGATTGGTTATTTTCCCTTTAAAAATGCTCCTTAATGTTCCTTTGCCAGGAATTATTTCTTGAATTGAATTTAAAATCATAAAAGAGTATGCTTACGTTAATATGGCATGGAAAACTATTATAAATTTACTTTTTTAATGAAATTTCCTTTTCACAACTAGAAACATAAGTAGCAGCAAAACAATTACACAGCAAATTGAAGAGCTAGCAAATTGTCATTGAATACGCATGTTTTAGCAAGTAATTTTAAACACAATTTTCCCTCATTTATTAATATTTGAATAAGTGGGGAAGCAGAGTTGCATTTATTCCATATTATTTTGTCTGTCTTCACTGTAAATTTATAAATAACAAATATCTTTACGTTTAGCAAACATAATCATGTTTACATTTTTCTACAGACTTGCATTGCGAAGATCTTTCTCCCCCAGAACATGGTATACTCAAGGTGACAGGAGAACATTTTGGACAAAAAGCTTCCTTTAGTTGCCAAGAAGGTTATTGGTTAGCTGGCAACACAGAAAGAGTTTGCCAAGGCGATGCCAAGTGGAGTGGCAAACAACCGGAATGCAAGCTCAAAGTAGGCAGTGAGTAGTTTTAAAAAAATGAATTTGTTTCTGAAAAACAATTAACTCATATATAATGTTTTAAACTTTTTAATCAATTGGATGCATAAAGAGATAATATTTTTCGAATGAATGTTCAATATTAAAAAATTAATAATACGTTTAATTTCTTATGTTCCTTGGAATTTCATTAAAAAATAGCCTTTGCCTTATTATTTATTGACGGCATATGAGAGATATTAAAATGCCTTATTATTGCTAATACCTTCTTGAACAACAATGTATCAATCCAAAGGAATGTTTTCAGTCGAAAGAAATTAATGAATAATTACTATTTTCTTCTTTTTCTCAGACTTATCTTTGGATAAACGAATTTCTTAATTGTAAACAAAAATTTTTAAATTCCCTTAAATCCCCCGAAATATGTCGAAATACGCAAAAAATAAAGGGACGAAGCTCTGAAAAATATGGTTATTATACTTTCAAGATTACGGCTACCCCGTATATTTTAATGGTTAGAGATCCAAATCCATTAAAAAAATTATGCTTATTCAGAGAAAGATCACCGTTGTATCTGAATTCGCAAATTAAAATCTCGTCTGCACTAATAATTTAGCATATTTGAGCTCACACTCCTAAATCATTAAGATTGTGCCCCAGTTTAATAAAATCCGATCCTTATATTAAAAGTTATTCAAGGTGTTTTATTTATTAGTTTGTGCACTGTACATTGCATTATGATTGTAAAATTTTTTTTCCAATGCCTGAGTTGACATTCATCAACTCAGAGAATGAAAAAACATCCATGCCTTGTCTGGGAATCAAACCCAGAACCTTTCTGATAAAAGGCCAGTTCCCTGACCCCTACACAGTCTGGTCGGCATGATTTTGAAGTTTTATTAACCAAAATTGTCTCAGAAATATAAAATTCGATTTTAAGTAAAGAACAAATTTGAAGATTATGAATAATATTTAAAGTGTCATAATTTTTTTACGTGTCTAAAATTCAATGAAATATTTTAGTAATAAAGAAATAAAAATATACACAAAAATATTTTAAAATACAGTTGATTTTTAAAAGTTAAAATTTGCAAATTTTTTATGTAATTATTTTTTTTTTAAAAATTAAATCTATTTTATTTAAAAATTTGAAAAAAATCAAATGCTGCTATTATTTAGTTCTGTTCGAGTCAATTTTAATAGTTAAACTCATTTACAATCACATGCATATTCTTCTATCCGCAAAATCTCACGTCTCGCAGGAGGATAAAACTATTATATTACAAAGTTTTGTATAAAAAATTAAGAATAAAAAATTCTTGTAGCCATTTTAATGACGTCTGTGGTTTAGAGTGACATTGGAAACATCGAAGTAAATACTCTTCTGTAGATGGTATCCAATACTTTGCTGCAGCAGATCATAGAGGAAGAGAGACCATCGAGAGTTAATTCGTGCAATTTACCCGATCGAAAAAGTTTCTTTTACTGCTAAAAGGAGCTAATAAAAGAAAGGCAATATTTGCAGATATTTCTTGACACTCATTCCATCTGGAATGTTCGATCTTAGAAAGGCATTAGAAGAAAAGGAAAACTTTACGATCAGTTCTCGCGCAGTTTATTTATTCAGAAAAAAAGTTTCTTCGTCCCATTGTGTAATCTCTTATAATTTCTGTCGCTGTATCAATACATCAAGATAGTTTGATTTTCATCGATGATAGTTTCTGTGATTTATACGTGGAATTTATTTTATTCCAACAATAGATTTTTATGCATTTCCGTTTGTTAGCAGAGATGTACAGTGCTCAAAAAAATAAACAGAGCACCCTGGAAAACTATTGATCTAATAATCGTATCTTCACATTCTAGTTCGAGGGTCTTCAAATATAATAATTTATTAGTGCAGACAATATTTTAAGTTACAAAATCAAACAATTAAACGTGCTTTCTCAGAATAAACATACCTTGTTTTCGATGGATTCTTATTTTTGTCCTGCAAAATATGGGGGTAGTCACAAATTCGGAAAATATTGCCCCAATAGTTTGTTAGGACAGGAAAGTGGTGGAAAGATTGAACCCTTTACTAGTTAATTTTATCATCATGGGATATTAATTAATCATGGGACACCATTTCTATACTCGTTGATCTTTTGTTTAAATTTTAGAAAAACAATTCCCTGCATTTATTAAGAATGTTACATTAAAAGTAATTTGCAATGAAACATTTCTTACGATATTTGAAATAGCAATATAAAGATTTGAGCCTAGTCGACCAGCCTTCGAAGGATTCAGGGAATAGGCCTTGCATTAGAAAGGTTCTGGGCTCGAATCCCGGTCAAGGCATGAATGTTCTTTCCTTCTCTATAATATCTGCCCTTACTGTGAAAGCAACGTTGGCTCTCCTATTATGCTGCCCCTGAAAGAGTGGACACCAAATCTGCCCTTCAGATGCCTGTATGGCGAAAAGGTCAATAATCCTACTTTCACGTTCTAGGACTCAATCTTAATAGTTCGAGGAGGCGTCTTGAAATACGATAACTTATTAGTGCAGACGATATTTTAAGTTAAAAAATCAAACAATTAAACGTGTTTTTTCTGAATAAACATACCTTGTTTTCGATGGATTCTTATTTTTATCTCCCAAAATATGGGGGTTGTCACAAATTCAATGTCGAAAATCAGCCATCAAAGTACGGAACAATTAAACAGTCCACAATCTGTCTAAGCATTGCATACAGTGACAAATGAAAAACTGACGAAATAGGAAATACGGCATTTTATATGTTTAATTGGTATGATTATGTTTTATAAGCAGAAGTTGAAAGCAATTTCTAGGCTCATTTCTTATTGTGCTTTGTTTGATAAAAGAGGCATAAATATTTAGTAATCCTAATGTATAATTTATAATAAATATATTAACCATATTTATTACAGTGTAAAAAATTTCGGATCAAATTACAGCATAAGTTAACGACACTTTAGATGGATCAACCGTAAAATCGATTTTGACTGTGAAATATTATACTTTAATATTTTACTGTAATATTATTCAATTGGTCCGTAATTTTAAGGTAATCGTTACTGTAGAAACTACGGTAATTCATATTTTTGTTCCATAACGTATTCCGGTAAAAATGGATTTTACAGTAAAAAGTATCGGCTCCTTGAGTGCCAGTGTGGATCCGAAGTTTTTATAATGTGCCCGCCAGGAATATGTGAGTCATGACTCAATATCTCTTAGATTAGTCTCTCCTAGATTACTCTATTGCGATAGATAATTGCCCGGTATGGTCTTTACTGGTGTTTTTTATTAAATTTAAGCGTAATTTCTCAGCATTCTACGGTGAATTTTTTTTTAAAATAAATATAACTGTAGTAGTTGTTGTAGTAAAATGTAATTAAGTAAGTGTTCCCAATGATGTTTTTCTTTATGGGGTATTAATAATGATAATTAAATGAGATGGTAAAGTTTTTGTTTCACAAAAAAACATAGTTTTTTTTGTTTTATATTAGAGAGGAAGGGAAGAAAGAGAGCAAGAGAAGAAAAAGCAACACATCATTTTCTTTCTGTGATTTCTAGTCACCAAATCATAATGTACTTAAGAGATTTTACATCATTGCTTAGATTATGCGTGTTAAAATGTATTTATTATTTTAAAAAAATCCAAGAAATTCCAGGCATTTGCCTTTTATTTATATATTCAAAGAATGAAATATTATTTATTATGTTTTGTGTTTTGTTAAATACATATTGAACTTTACTGTTTAAAATGTAAAAGATAAAAACACAAATTAAAATGGGAGAATTTTTAAAGTAGAACATGAAGCAACTTTTGATTTGTATGTATATAAAAATAAAGAAAGAGAGACTACAGAATTGATATGATGTGATTTTAAAATCCCCATCTATCACAATATATATACACTACCGGTCAAAAGTTTGCGAAAATTTTTAAATCTGCAAAGAAAAGGCCTAAATTCAAATGTTCATAGAACTGCGAAAANTATTATATTATATTATATTATATTATATTATATATATTATAATTAATTATATTTCCTCCAAAAGTAAAAGTAAAGATAAATGATTAAAAAGGGGTTCATTTATTTTTATTTGTAAATGATTTTTTTTAAATAATGTTCAGTTGTTTTCTTCACAGCCATGTGCGTGTCTCCACCTCAAGTGGCCTATGCTCGACACAGTGCCCCTCTGGACAAAGATGACTTCCCCACAGATTCCACCGTGCAATACACATGCTTCCCTGGTTATGATCCAAAAGGTTTTCCAAAGGCTAAGTGCCTCAACTATAATGGAACGGCCCAGTGGTTTGGACCTGATCTCCGCTGCCTTCGTAAGTCCCTTCTATAAGTCATTGTTTTTATCACCGTTGCGCACACAAAGGAAGCGTCAAACTATCATTTTAGAAGTTCATTTATTTCTAAATTAAGGAACTAATTCTTAAAGCATCTCTCAATAATTTTTGTACTGCCTAAGAGACAAATCGGTGCATATTTGTCTATTTTGTCAACTTTAGATAATATATTTATCAGACTGTGTTGACAGAATATGAAAAGAGTGTCCTAGGTAGCGATTCTAATGTGAAAAGTAACAGGTAATGTTTGAATATTATTTGAAGGCTTTTTTTCACATAGATTCTCTTTTCACGTATTTATTGTCATTGTTTTTTCTTGCCAACTCTTTGTGATCCAACACCAGCTAGGTTGAAGGATACGTCATGGTTGAAGGATACGTTTTTGACTTCTATATTTATGGAAGCAATGGTGTGATCGGCTGAAACAGGATTGATCATGCACTTGGTATTTTGTGAAGACCCTGCTCCCAGACTTGAAAGTCGTACTTTTCAAATCCCTGCAAATGAATCGTGAAACATCAATTTAATCGTATCTACGTAGGATTTATGATCGGATCAGGATTGATCAAGCACTTGGTACGTTTAGGGAAGACCCTGCTCTCAGTCTTGAAGGTCATACTTTTCTAATGCCTGCCAATAAATCGTGAAATAGCAATTTTATCGGATCTATATGGGATCTATGATCGGATCAGGATTGATCAAGCACTTGGTACGTTTAGTGAAAACCCTGCTCCCAGACATGAAGGTCATACTTTTCAAATACCCACTGATGAATCGAGAAACAGCAATTTTACCGGATCTACATGGGATCTATGATCGGAACAGGATTGATCATGCACTTGGTACGTTTAGTGAAGACCATGCTCCCAGACTTTAAGGTCATAATTTTCAAATACCCACTGATGAATCGAGAAACAGCAATTTGACGGGATCTACGACCCTCCAAAGCACCCCCTGGACACTCTCGACCATACCAATATTGTACGGGGTGAATGAGCCAAGTATGTCTGAGCCTTCTTTATAAATTCATGCTGCTTTTCACACTTTGTTACATGGAAAAAATATATCCTTTAATGATAGTCTAACGGAATTATTAGAGATAACCAATAGGAGAACATGAAAATAAACAAGTTAGCTAGAAAAGAATGAATTTTTCTCCCCTCGTTATCAAAACTCGTTGTAGTGGTAAAAATACCGCTTTATTTTGTGTGAGTTCTTATAAATCGTGTTGCTGTCTAAATTGATTTCTTATAAATCATCACTACGCAACAGATTGCTAAAAAATTAATTTTTACTTCAAATATTAAACTTCTATTATCTATTGAGTAAACAAGTATTAAATTTCAACGCCTTACTATGAGCCTATCTGTCGGCATTTTCCGCTGAATATCGAAACTCTCGATTCTGTTTTCTGAATGCTAAATATATTTGTTAATTATTTCTAAGAATCATTTCCAAATAAAACTTACAAAAGCATATTAAAACATTCATAATTAGGCAAGTTGAAAAAGAGAAAGAAATAATGCTGCAAATATTTTGTTTCATCATTCACCATCAGTACAAAATACTGGCATTTCTCAGTTATACCAACAAATATTAACATTCATCATTGGTCAAGTTGAAAGGGAAACATTACATTATTCAACATCAGTACATGTTGAGTATGCTCATTACATGTATATTATATCAGTACATGCTGAATATATTCATTACATCTATATTACATCAGTACATGTTGAATATACTCATTGCATGTATATTGCATCAATACATGAATATACTGATCATTTCCCAATTATACCAAGAAATGACAACATTCCTTATTGGTCTGCCAACGTTCCTTATTGGTCAAGTTGAAAGAGAAAAATAATGTCTCAAAATTTATTCAACATCAGTACATGTAAAATATTTACATTTCTCAGATATATTTACCAATGTCAACATTCATTATTGGTCAAGTTAAAGGAGAAAAATAATTATTCAAAAAAAAAATTTTATTCAACATCAGTACATGTTGAGTATGCTCATTACATGTATATTATATCAGTACATGCTGAATATATTCATTACATCTATATTACATCAGTACATGTTGAATATACTCATTGCATGTATATTGCATCAATACATGAATATACTGATCATTTCCCAATTATACCAAGAAATGACAACATTCCTTATTGGTCTGCCAACGTTCCTTATTGGTCAAGTTGAAAGAGAAAAATAATGACTCAAAATTTATTCAACATCAGTACATGTAAAATATTAACATTTCTCAGATATATTTACCAATGTCAACATTCATTATTGGTCAAGTTAAAGGAGAAAAATAATTATTCAAAAAAAAATGTTTATTCAACATGAGTATATATGCTGAATATGAACATCTTTCAGCGATATCAACATATAACGAAATTCATCATTCATCAAATTGGAAATGTTAAATAATGGCTTAAAAATTTTGTTTCATTTTTCTCTGCAAATGTAAACATTTATTTTTGACCGTGATGACAAAAAAATTCACGATAAAAAAAATTAGCTACAACATTCATCATCATCTCGAGTATTGACATTTGCCACGGAGAGTGAGAAATAGATATTCAACAAATATTTCTTTCGAACATACACTTTAACGACTATGTTAATGCAGATATTCACAAGAGATTGATAATCTTCACTTATTTCAGTCTTTTTCAGTAATTTAAGACTGAAAATTTACAGATGGATTTCAAGTTAGAAGAGTTAAGCTAATTTATTTTTAAAATACCATTTTGTATACAAAAAAATTTTTTTATTACTTTCTCTTTTTGAACAAAGCTGATAAGATTTTTTAATTAAAAAGTGACACTTTCTCAAAACGTTAACATGATACACTTGAAATTGAACCTTTGACATTTCAATTTTTGATTACTTGCAAAAATTGATTCATAAACAGATGCCAATTTTGTATCGCAGATATTTAAATAGGAATACTATCTCAAATATTACGAAATATAATTATTTATTTTGTAAAATTTAATTCCACTGTTTATTTACTTTTATATTATTTACTTATTTTGTAAAATGTTAGACATCTTTATGTCTAATCACACTCATGATTTGAGAACATGGTTTAAAATGTTATCACTAAAAAAGTACACTGCTGGTGATTATTACGTAGCATAAACTGCAATCTGCTATAAAGTTACAAACCAGCCTTAAGGATGAGCTTAATGACTATTTATCGAAAATAAAACTTACTAAAACACCATCTAAAACATTGATATTCATCTAAAGATCTACCTAAATATCACCGATAGCTTCAGAGCTCGAAGAAAGTTCTGTTTAATTCCGACTCGTATTGATTTGCTGAAGATTTCATTAGCCATGAACGGTAGCCGGCATATTGCGGTTATTTAAGCTGTTTTAACGACCTCCAGAATTTCACAAGCCCATGACGAATGCTAATCTAATTTCCCAACTTAGTTTGCCTTACGTCAATTGACGCCCACTGCGAAGAGAAATCACACTTGAGCGAGTTGAAAAGGCAGTTTCGGAATAGCAAATTCTAATTACTTTCTGTAAAAGGAATGGAAAAGTTTTGATGTTTCTTCGCAACTCTGATGTGTCAACCATTCTTGAAAGTTGATCTCTTTGGGCGGATATTAAAGGGAAAGGGTTTATTACTTAACACACTGTTTCTAAAAATAACTTTAACTGCTATGGAAGAGTTAATAAAATTCCATTTATACCAATTTATCCCATTTATTCGCTTCAAAGGAATACTGCCGTATATATATATATATATATATATA